GGACTCACGGCACAGCTGCAGCCCACACCACTCGACATCAGAATGACTGAGTGACCTCCCACCTGCCAAGCCCTGACTAAGCCACCTGCAAGGCCAGGCCCCTCCAGGCTCACACGTCCCCCTAATACCAGCCAGCTATCATCCCTGGTGTCCTTAGCACCGGGCCTGGATTAGAGGTGAGTGTTTTATCTGCCCTGCAGGCAGAAGCAAGGCCTTTCCTGGGGGTATTCTGGTGAGGCCACACTCACCTTGTTTTTCTTCCTCCCCTCGCACAGACTTACCCAGGGCCCAGGGCATCTGCGCTCCCATCCAGCAGACCGTGACAGGACACAGACATCACTCGGAATTTCCTTCCCCACACCACGTCCCGTGTGGGGCCTCATGGGCTGTTCGGCCCACAAAATGCTAATGCAACCCTGAAGCAGACTAGGTGGAGCAGGACAGGAGGGTGGGGGAAGGGAGAAGGGGAAGGGGCGGAAGCTGGGGGCAGCAAACCAGAGCTCCCGGGGGTGGGGGGGGGAGGGGGGGGAGTGCTGGACACAGGATGTCTCCTTGTCAGGTGGTTGACAGAGGAAAAACCCAGAAAGGGGCCGGCCACAGTGCCTCATGCCTGTAATCTCAGCTGCCCTGGAGGCCAAGGCGGAAGGATCACTTGAGGCCATGCATTCAAGACCAGCCCAGGAAACACAGCCAGACCCCCCCTCAAAAAATTAAAAAATAAAAAATAAGCCAGGCGTGATGGTGTGCTTCTGTGGTCCCAGCTACAGGAGCACACCATACAGGTGAAAAGACTGCTTGAGCCCAGGAGGTCGAGGCTGCAGTGAGCTATAATCACACAGCTGCACTCCAGCCTGGGCAACACAGCAAGACCCTTTCTCTAAGGAAAATTAATTAATCACTTAAATTAAAGTTTTGAAAAGACAGAAAGGACATGGACCATGGGAACCCGGCTCCCTCCTCACCCTTGAACATGCTGCCTAAAATCACCTCGCCCTAGTATCATCCCCTCCAGGTGGCAACTCTGGATAAAGACGGGCCAGGCTGGATCAATTGAGTCCTGGGACCTTAGGACAGAATGAGCCACAGCCACCACGCCCCAAGTCATCCTTGGCTTGGACCCCTTCAGCCTCTAGTGAAATCATGGTAGGCCCTTTGCCTAGTCTTCTAGTTCTAGATTGTGACTTGGAAGTAATAATAGCGAGCGTGAATTGGGCACCTGCTAAATGACAAGCAGTGAGTGTTTTGTTGTTGTTTTTTTTTAAACTTTGTCTTTGAACTTCTGTTCATCTTCTTACCTACTTTCAGTTTCTCACTCTGTTACCAGGCTGGAGTGCAAAGGCACAATCACGCATCAAGGCTCACTACAGCCTCAACCTCCTGGGCTTACCTCAGCCTCCTGAGTAGCTGGACTACAACCACGCCTGGCTAATGTGTGTGTGTGTGTGTGTGTGTGTGTGTGTGTGTGTGTGTGTGTGCGCGCGCGCGCGCTCGCAGACAAGGTTTTGCTAATGTTGCTCAGGCTGGTCTTGAACTCCTGGGCTCAAGCAATCCTTCCGCCTCGGCCTCCCGAAGTGCTCGGATTACAGGCGTAAACCACCATACCCAGCCAGCGAGTGCTTTTGACATAACCATCTGACTGATCCCTCCAACCTATTCACCCATTCATGTGTTTATTCAAACAATTTTCCCTTATAGACGGGGTCTTGCTTTGTCACCCAGACTACAGTGCAGTGGCATGATCACATCTCACTGCAGCAGCCTTGAACTCCTGGCCCCAAGCCATCCTCCAGTCTTAGCCTACCAAATTGCCGGGATTACAGGTGAGAACCGCTGCACCCAGCCTTGTTCCTGATAGATTTCACCAGTGAAGCCAAAGGGATTTGCCAGTGACTTGAATGCCTGGAATGAAAGAAAGACCAGAGTCAAGTGAGACCTCAAGTGTTGGGGTCTGAGAACCAGACAGGAAGACGGAGGGAAGAGCAGGTTCAGGAGAGAGTACAAGGCAGTGGAATCTGAGTGTGTAAAGTTAGAGACGTCCAGGTGGAGGTGCCCCATCGCTGACCACATACCTAAATGCGCCTGCCACTTAGGGGAGGGGACACATCTAGGCCCAAAGCTGGAGATTGTTTGCATGAGGGTGGGGTATTAGCTTCTTGTGGCTGCCACAACAAACACCCACAAAGTAGGTGGCTAAAGGTCAGACACATTGACTCACGCCTGTAATCCCAGTACTTTGGGAGGCCAAGGCAAGAGGATGGCTTGGGCCCAGGAGTTCGAAACCAGCTTGGGAAACATAGCGAGACCTTGTCTCTACAACAACAACAACAAAATTTGCTGAACCTGGTGACACATGCCTGTAGTCCCAGTTACTTGGGAGGCTTAGCAGAAGGATGGCCTGAGTTCAGGAGGTCCAGGTAGCAGTGAGCCGTGATTGTACCACTGCACTCCAGCGTGGGCAACAGAGTGAGACACCAACTCAAAAAAAAAAAGTGGGTGATTAAAAACAATGGGAATTTCTTCTTTCATACTCCTGAAGGCCTGGAATCTGAAACCAAGATGTCAGCGGGGCCAAGCCCCCTCTGAAGGCTCTGGGAAAGGATCCTTCCTTGCCTCTCCATCTTCTGGGATGGTCTGTGACCCTTGACGTTCCATGCCGGGTGGAGCCATCGTTCCAATCTCTGCCTCCATTATTACATGGTGCTCTCCCTGCGTGCAAACTCGTGTCCAAATCCCCCTCATCTTAAAAGGACACCAGTCACTGATTAGCAATGAATCTAGTACAACATCATCCTAACTCAATTATATTGGCAAAGACCTTATTTTCAAATAAGATCACATTCAGAGGTTCTGGGGGTTAGGACTTCAACATATATGTTTGAGGACACAATCCACAATATCTTGTCAAATGAAAGATGTTTATTTATTCTTGCGTAAGCATTTTTTCCCAATACTGCTACGCATCCATTGAATGGCTTCACTTATTCCAATTTAGGGTTCCAGAGAGAGTAACAAATTATCACATCATGTGTTACAGTTGTAGCTTAAGGCCAAGGAGCACATTATTTGGCAATATTCCATTTATTTTCTCTTTTTTTGGAGGGGGAGGGGTAGAGTCTCACTGTCACCCAGGCTGGAGCGCAGTGGCACAATCACGGTTCACTGCAGCACTGGCCTTCCAGGCCCAGGCGATCCTTCTGTCTCAGCCTCCTGAATAGCTGGGGCTACTGATGCATACCACCACACCTGTCTAATTTTTTTTTTTTGTAGAGATGAGATCTCACCACGTTGCCCAGGCTGGTCTCAAACTCCCAAGCTGGGCTCAAGCAATCTTCCCAGCGTGCTGGGATTATAGGTATAAGCCACCATGCTCAGCCCGAATGAACAATTTTAATGGGGTCTATATACACAATGGAATACTATTCAGCCATAAAGAAAAATGAAATTCTGTTATCTGCAGCAACATGGATAAGCTGGGAGAACACTGTGTAAAGTGAGCTAAGTCAGAAACAGGAAGACAAATACCACACATTCTCACTCTTATGTGAGAAGTACAAAGTCGAATAGTGGTTACAAAAGGCTAGGGAGGCTCAGAGGAAGAAGAGAATGAGGAGAGGTTGGTTAATGGGCATAACATTACAGCTAGACAGAAGGAATACATTCTCATGCTCTGCAGACTGTTAACTGTGGTTAACAACAATTTCGTTTGAAAAAGCTAGGCAAGAGAATTTTGTGTGTCCACAACACAAAAAATGATAAATGTCTGTGGTGATGAATGTGCTAACTACCCTGATTTAATCATTACACGTTATATAGGTGTACCAAAATATCACTCTGTATCCCATAAATGTGTGCAACTATTACATATCACCTAAAAAAAAAAATCTGCATAAAAATCTGGTGTATGCCCTAAAAGGTGACGTGATCGTGTTCAAGAGGAACAAAAGTCCCTTCCCACCCCCAACCATCCAAACTAAAGTCACTCACTCCTTTTTCTCTCTCCCGACCCTTCATAACTCACAATTATTGAATCTACACTTGTGTGCATGTTTTCTTATATAATTTTTTTTCTTCCATCAGACTCAAAACGCTCAACTCATGGATTTTTTTTTGCCTTGATAGCTACTGAACCCAGCTGGGCGTGGAGGCACACATCTGCAATCTCGGCACTTTGGGAGGTGAGGCAAGAGGATTGCCTGAGCCCAGGGTCAGAGACCAGCCTGGGCAACTTGATGAGACCTCATCTCTACCAAAAAAATCAAAAAAGTTAGCCAGGTGTGGTGGTGTGTGCCTGTGGTTCCAGCTACTTGGACAGTTGAGCCCATCAGGTGGAAGCTGTGGTGGAGGGGAGGTGCCACTGCCCTCCAACCTGGGTGACAGGGTGAGACTCTGACTCAAAAAAAAAAAAAAAAAAACTACTGGACCCAGCATACAATAGATGACCAATAAATGCTTTGCCAGATGAAAAAAATGTGTGTATGTGCACGTGCACACGCGTATCTCCAATAGGTTTTATTTAAAATTTCAGTTTAAATAATTTTATATATAAATAACTTTCATTTGTTTAGTTAAATTAAATTTAATTAATCAAAATATTTAAATAAATGTATTCAAAATTATGATATTCAGAATTGTATAATCGGTATTTGCAGATTTTTGAAGAGAAATTCAAATGTTTTAGAAGAAAGCGTTGTTTTTTAAAAATAATATTAAAAATATTTTTCATTTATGCTGTAGTCTCAGGCTACAAGAAGCGCCTCAGACAGTGTTGGGGAGACCCCAGGCCCACATCGGCCCCCCCCTCCCCGGCCCAGATGAATTTCCACACTCAAGGAAGTTCCCTCTAGGGTCCAACCACATTCTGCGAGGAGGCGCCACACTTGACATTTTTCTGTCCTACCACCAGGTGGCGCGAGCGGGACCGAGCGGCGCTCTGGAGTCGTTCATCTCAATGATCCCCGCAGCCGCCGGGGCGACCCGGAAGCCGTGGCTGGCGGGAGGGATGGGGCAGTGCTTCCGGGTGGGAGGGAGCTGACCTCCGCCGCCGCGGGGACCTGCGACGGCAGCAACCATGGGGGCGCACCTGGTCCGGCGCTACCTGGGCGACGCCTCGGCGGAACCCGACCCCCTGCGGATGCCCACTTTTCCACCTGATTACGGTTTCCCCGGGCGCAAAGAGCGCGGTGAGGCCCAGTGCGCAGGCGCGGCCGGAGGGCGTGGGGCGCGGGCGCCGGGACCCCAAACTCCGAGGTCCCCAGGGCTGGGCTCTAACCTCACCCGCTGCCTTCAGGCTGAGCTCTGATCTTGGCCCAGAGGAGTCCAGAGCACGCGGGTGAGCCCTATTGGGGGCTTTGCAGGCCAAGGACACGGCTGAACCAGACCCCGGGGTCAGGAGGGACAACCAGAGCAGCGCCGAGTCCTGGGGGCAGTGGGGAGCCATGGAGAGTTTCACGGGGGTGCAGGTCCACTGTACCGCAGTCCGGAGGTCGCTGCCGTTTTTAGGTGCGCACAAGAAAACACAAGGGCCTTCGCCGCGCGTACCGCCCTGCTCGATGCTTTTTTTAATTAATTTAATTTTTTGGAGACAGGGTTCCGTTCTGTCGCCCAGGCTGGAGTGCCGTGGCGCGATCATGGCTCACTGCAGCCTCGACCTCCTGGGCTCTGCGTTTTTTTAAATGTAGTCCTATCACATATTGGCATTATCAGCACCAACTCTGGACCTGGTCCCAAGGTGGGCTCCGTGGGTACAGCAGGGAATTGGAGGGATTCGGGCACCGTCGTCGGGGAACCTACAGCCTCGTCGGGAACCCACAGCCCCGTCGTGGAACCAGACAGATGTGGGGAGCAGTTCCTGGGAGTGTCATGGTGGGCTTCCGGGAGGCAATGGCTGGAAGCAAAGACCCCCAGAGGGAAGAGTAGGCAGGGACCAGACTGACGTGGGGGAGTAAGTGCTTTTAAGCAGAAGAGGGACACTGAGACCGGGTTTGTCAAAAGATCTTGCAGTGTGCTGAGTGGGTGACCACCTTGAGAGAGGGAAGACTCTGAGTGGTGGGGTTGCAGAGAGGTCTGAACTTGAGAGAATGTTGGGAGGTGGCTTCATCACTCTGGTGTCCCAGCTTCAGGTAGCCCCTGGCCCCAGCTGAACCTGCGGTCCATTGATTCGCCTACCTCCTTACCCCTGCCCCTGGCTTCGTCCTTTGCCCATGGTCAGTTTTGCAAACCCAGCAACTCCTCCTCCTCTGTTTTGCTTGGCTAAACCAAAACCCTAACTAAGCCCACCTCTTCCTCCTCCTTGGCCCTGTCCCTGTGCAGCTGAACCTAATGAGAGGGGAAAAAAATAGTGCTGCTGACGGGTGGACCAGTGGCTTCCCTGGCCTTCCTCTTACCTACCCTGGTCTTTCACTCTCTCCTTCCATCCGAGACCCCTGTCCCAGGCCATCTCCTTCTTTCAACCAGTCACTCTGCATCTTCTTATGGAAAAAAAATAGAAGCAGCCAAAAAAGCTCTCTTGGGATCCTTATGGACTCCCTTCCTCCTCCATGCCTTCGGGCTCTTCTCCCTCCCCGACCCCCCTTATTCCAGCTGATCTGCCTCTGCTCAGGCTGAGCCCCTATGCCCCTGTGTGGGTGAACCCCCTCGTGCCTTCCATCCCTTCTTCTTACTCACCCAAGGACTCTGCTCCAGCTGTTCCTGTCTCTTGCAACATTGGTTTTCCCATCAACATGCAAATCAGTATTTCTATCCTTCTAAGTCCCTTCCTGCCCTACTCCCTGCAACTGTCCCCCTACCATCTCACTGACAGGGCTCCTTTTTTTGTAGAGACGAGGTCTCACTATGTTGCTCAGGCTGGTCTCAAACACCTGGACTCAAGTGATCCTCCCACCTCGGTCTCCCAAAGCGCTGGGATTATAGACGTGAGCCACCGCCCCTGGCCCATCCTCAGTTCTTATCTGACCTCATGGCAGCATCAGGCACAGCTAACCACTGACAGGTCCAGCCCTGCCTCACTGGACCCCAGGACTCCACCTCACCTCCCCTTTGGAGTGCCCCAGGGCTCAGGCCTCTACTCTTCTGTTCATTCCCTGGGGTCTCTGCTAGTCCCTGGCTTCGGGTGTCTTCCGCATGCCGACACTCCCAAGTCTTTATCCCCAGTCTGGTCTTGGCCCCAGACTCTAGACTCCTGGATCCCACTGTCTGCCCAACACCTCCACGCAGTGTTATCTGGCATCCTGCATGCAGTGGATCCAAAAACAGGACCCCTGACCTCTCCGCAAGCCTGCCCCTCTTCCTATCTTCCCTGTCCCATTAACTGGCAGCTCCATCCTTTCTTGTGCTCAGGCCAAAAACCTTGGACCATCCTGCTGCCTGTCCTCTCGCCTCAAGGCCTTTGCACCTGTTCTGTTACCTGGACTGCACTTCCCAAAGGCAGCTGCGAAACTCCATTCCTTGTCTTGTCATGGTGGTGGTTCTCCTGCTAGTCCTTCCTCTGTCTCACTTATTTTTCTCCCTGATATTCATTCATTCATTTTAGAGACAGGGATGCTGGGGCTGGAGTGCAGTGACGTGAGCATAGCTCAATTCAGCCTCGTACAGGCACATACCAACCACACCTGGGTAATTTTAGTTACTTTTTTATAGAGACAGGTTCCTGCTGTGTTGCCCAGGCTGGTCTCGAACTCCTGGGCTCAAGCAGTCCTCCTGCCTCAGCCTCTCAAAGTGCTGGCAGGCCTGCAGGTACACACCACCGTGACCTATTTTTTGTAGAAACAGAGTCTGGCTATATCACCCAGACTAGTCTCAAACTCCTGGGCCCAAGTGATACTCCCACCTGTGCCTCCTGGACACCACTGCCTGCCTGACACTGGGATTACAGGCCTGAGCCACCACACCCAACCAGTTTGTTGTTGTTGTCTTGCTATGTCACCCACGCCGCCTCCCTGATACTTAACCCTTGCCAGCTATTCTGCAACACTCTGTTCTGTGCGCTCAGCACACAGTGGGTGCTCCAGAAGTCCTTCCTGCTGGCAGATTGTAAATTGAGACAAAACAGGAGTGTAGATTGCTGACCGGAGCTCAAGGTGCTGGTGGCACCACGGCGAGGGCTGCAGGTGGACACCCAGGCCTGGGGTGGTGCTCAAGCACAGGGCTCTCGGAGGCCAGTGCTTAGGGTCTGGGCTGCCGTGGAGATGAGGGGAAACCTGAGAAAGGGGTGGGTCAGGAGGAGCCGCAGGAAGGACAAGAAGGAAGCAGGGCAAGAGGCTGGTGGCCCAGGTGCTGGGTGGGCCTGAGAGCTGTGTCTGGGCTGGAGTGGGGTAGAAGACAGTGGGGTGCAGGGCAAGAGAGGCCAACTGGGCCCAGGTGAGACTGAGATTCCGGCCAGGAGCAGAGGGCAGCCAGCCCAGAGTGGCAGTCAAAGCTGAGCATGTCTCACCTCACTCGGGTGGATGGAAGGAGCTGGAACCACGACCCATCGATGGTGCGGCAAGGAGAGGGGTCGGGAAAGGCTGCGTCCTCAGTGGCCCCTGCTGGGCCAAGAGGAGAGGGCTGGGTGCTCATGGAGGTGGCTGGAAGGGACATAGGAGCGGGGGCACAGGCTGGAGTGTGCCGTGAGCCTCTGGGGCCCGGTTGGCTTCCTCCTGAGGTCAGATTTTGATAGTTGGGCAGGGCCTGGGACCTGGGGCTGGTCCAGCTCTCTTCTGAGGCCCACGTCAAAGTACTTGACAGGTACTGTTGGCTGGGTTCATGCTCAGGTACCTCCTGCACGCTGGGAGGGGCTCAGAGGCATGTGAGGAGGCAGTTCTAAGCTCTGCAAAAGGGGGCGGTATGCCTGGAGAGGGGTACAGGATCCAGCATGGACACTGAGGTGCCCCGGGGTGATGGGGAGAGCCGCCCTCTCCTGTCTGGGCATCAGGCCCCTTCCACACGGCACCTGTCAGAGGCTGTAACCCTCTGCCGCCTTCGCCCAGTCATGAATGGGGCATGCCCAGCGCACATGGGCCCACTGGGGATCCCTGGAATGGAGGCTGCGAGGCCCCGCGAGCCGTCCAGCTGAGCCCTGTCCCCCCGCAGAGATGGTGGCCACGCAGCAGGAGATGAACGACGCGCAGCTGGTGCTGCAGCAGAGGGACTACTGCGCCCACTACCTCATCCAGCTGCTCAAGTGCAAGCGCGACAGCTTCCCCAACTTCCTGGGCTGCAAGCACGAGCAGCACGACTGGGAATACTGCGAGCACCTCGAGTGAGCCCGTGTCCGGCCCCGCCCCAGCCCCTGGCCCAGGATGGAGCTCCAGAGGCCAAAGACAGTGAACTCACTCGGGCTTCTAGCCAGGCCCACCTTAATCCCATAGAGGGCTCTCTAGGGGCCTGTTGAGTGGGGGCAGGGCCGTGGCCGAAGCCAGGCTGCCAGTGGGAGGCCCTGCTCCGGGCCCAGACCTCACTGGGGGGCGAAGGGTGGACTCAGCAGCTGGCTCCTGCCGGCGGACCCCAAACAAGCCACAAGCAGGTCTTCCTACTCAAAGGCGCCCCTTGCCAAATTCTGGGACACCCGCTCCAGTCCCACCCGCTTCTCAGCTCAGGGAGGGCAGTGTCCTAATCAAGAGCCTGCTGACCCTTCTGCTTTGCCCCCAGCTACGTGAAGCGCATGAAGGAGTTTGAACGCGAGCGGCGGCTGCTCCAGCGGAAGAAGAGGCGGGAGAAAAAGGAGGCAGAGGCAGCCAGAGGCCAGGGTTCCGGAGAGGTGGCCCCCGAGGTGGCCCTATAGGGGGTGTGCCCCCCACCCTGCGGACCAGAGAAATAAAAGCTTCCAGCCTGAGCCCACCTCTCACTGCCTTGACTGAGGGGGCGGGGAGAAAGGGCAGTGTGGCCGTTCTCCCTAATCCAACCCCCAGCCCCAGCAAAAGAAACAGCCCGAGTCCCGCTGGGGCAGGCAGGTTTTATTCCAGGTGTGGGAGAGCACAGCCCCCACCCCTCCCCCAGAACGACACTGGGGTGGGGGCAACAGCCAGGCTTGGCAGAGGCCGGTGAGGGGACCGCTCAGAGCAGGAAGGGAATGATGGGCATACGCAGGGGCGGGTAGTCACGGAACTCCTTCAGGTAGCTGCGGTGCTTGCCCTTGGCCCAGATGGTCATCTGGGTGAAGCCCACCAGGGAGAAGAGGGCCACTGTGGGCAAGAGCAGAGTCAGGGAAGGGTTCTCTGGCCCGGATGGACAGGACCCCACTGAGGCCTGGAGGCGGAGGGGCTCACCTGGGAGACACTGTGTCATGATGGCAAAGCCAATCCAGGACCCCACCTGCAGACAGAGGGGTGGGGTGAGGCCAGCTATTCTGTCCAGCCTCGCCCACCCCACGCATGTGGCTGCCCAGGACTTAGCCAGCCCTCTCTGCCCAACCCTTGCTTTCTGAGTAGAGGATGGGGGAACCCAACTCCAGTGCTGAAAGGACTCTGAGTGGAGGTGGGGCCACAGGACAGAGCCCAGCATCACACACCTCTCACCCTCCAGAGCAGAGGCCGCCAGACTCTCCAGCTCCACGTGCAGGCTGGCCCCTCCACTTAGGACCCCGAATGCTCCCCAGGAGGAAGAGGGACAGACAGCAGCCCCTCACCTCGTACGTGTAGTTGGGGCAGGACACCAGCAGGAAGAGCCACGTGAAGGGGTTCTTGGTGGGGTATGGAATCTTCCGAGTCTTGGACCCTGGGGGGCAGGATGGGAGATGCTAGTCAGGTGGGCAGGGCCTGGGACCTGGGTCTGGTCCAGCTCTCTTCTGAGGCCCACGTTGAAGTGCTTGACAGGTACTGTTGGCTGGGTTCATGCTCAGGTAACTCCCACACACTGGGAGGGGCTCGGCCAGCCCCTCACCCCACCCTGGCCTCCGCAGGCTACTCACCGGCCGGCCGCAGGTCCCGCAGGGCCATGTGGATGGAGAAATTGCCGAGCTGGCAGATCTGTCGGAAGAACAGGGTCAGCCCAGAACCCCCTAGACGTCCCCTCACCCCGTCACGACCCCCGGCCTCCTTACCACAAAAATGGCAAGCGCCAGCTTAATCTGCTGAGCTCCGTAGGCTGAAGAGGAAGCAGGGAGGGGAGACCCATGAGAGGAGGGTCTGGTGGGAAGGGGGCCGCGGGGGTAGCACGATCCAAGGCCACTTACTGGGGGGCGTGTAGAGAGGGTGGTTGATGTAATAGGCCATCCACGCGGCGAAGCCCCAGTAGTAGGTGCAGTTCTGAAAGGGAGTGGGTGGC